TGTGTAGTAGATTATAAAGAGAAAATTATTGCACTCATTAATTGATATTTACCTCTATCTGTTAACCTACAGAAAGGAATCAAACATCTCTCTCGCTCTCTCTCTCTCTATATATATATATATATATATAAAAACATAAAACACACATCATACATATATATAAAAAACATATAACACACATATCAAACATACATATATAAAAACACATATATATATATATATATATATATATATATATATATATATATATATATATATACACACACACACACACACACATTAGTTCTTAGGCTTTTTTTAAAAAAAAAAATCTCTCCCTTTTAAATGGCAGATAGCAAATTCTTGAAAATGGAATGATCAATTTAAAGAAGATGGTGGAAAAGGTAGGAGCCAGACAAGTAAGTGCAAACTATATTGATTTCCTTGTTTCAAACCAGCAGAAAATGATCGACTTTTGAAGCAGGAAATAAAAGACTGCTTTCAGCTAAAACCAGGTGATTTGCCGAGTTTTCTCAGAAAAATATAAAACTGATGTTTTTTTGATTTACTATGTTTAAAAATGTCCGAGATCTTATAGGAAAAAAAGTGAGAACTGAATTTAGATATAGTAGGAATAGATCACACGCTTTACAGATTTGATTATACACATTATATAACACTAAATATTATTTCTTGTGTTATTTTCTGTTTTCAATTTTGTGCTGAGAGCGATGCAAAATATACTGAGAATAAGAGACTGCAAATTGTCTACTACAAGCTCAATCAGTTTGTCAGGATACCAATATCTTTATTATTTTGAAATGTAATGAGACCTAAGATTTTTTTTTTTTTTTTTTATTATTATTGTTCACCCAACACAGGGCCCAAGATTGACTCAAAATAGAGGGTTACTAAATGAGGATGTTGTCTGGTTGTACGGGGATGGCGCAAGGGTTGCATATTATGAATCTATGTAGGGTAGATAATGATGAGGTTAAGATTGTAGTGATCAGGAAAATATTCACATTCCACATTTTAACAGAAAATTGATCTTTTTTTTATTACTGTTTGTTTTATCAGATCTTAAAGAAATATTTTGTTATAGCATTTAATTATGAAATACTTTCCTTTTTTTCTTTGTTCTTTGATTATATATTAAACAATTTTAACTAGGAAATTTTTCAAAGTATAACTCAGTCATTCAACAGCTTCAGTGATATTGCCTTATTTTTTTAACACAGGAAATTATTCTATAATGAAGTACTACTGCATATCTCACATGCATTTTCTTCAGAAAATTTTCAACCTCATATTTCATACATATATTTTGCTCAAATTTCTGAAAAATGAATCTATATATATTGATTCTGAAGTTAAGTAGGGTTTTCAAAAATGAAAATTCATATATAGCTCTATTTTAGAAATATTTTTGCTTATATATTTAATATATAATCATAAAATAGCATACTTTAATCACAGCAGTGTACCAAAGGTGTAAAAAAGTGCAAACTCAGGTTGATACTATCAATCATTTAGAAAAAGCAAAAGACAGGAATCAAATAAGAATAAAAAGACTTTGATCACAATATTCATGCTATAAATCAATAAATATTAGTGGAAAAAAGCTACATTTAAAGACTATAAACAATCGGTGACTTGTAAGAGCAGTATCCTTTCCCCTATAATATGATTTCGTGTTCAATAGACAGAATTCAAATTGTGAATAAATACTGCCATTACTCATGACTTCATGTTTATATCCTTTTTTTCCTGTTATATCTCTACTTTTCTCTCTTATGTCATAATTTCTTGAATCACTATCCTGGTTGTCACGGTACCAATTTTTTTTTTTCTTTATCTGCTGGAACTTATTACTTTCTATGAAACAGGAAGTGATACACCAACACAAGATATTTTGTTTGTTTTATCTTTGGGTTTTTTTTTTTTTTCATATAAAACAGATATGGTTTACGTCTGAAAAAATTTCCAGTGGTCTGATTCAATGAGCCAACTTCTGCTTGTAAAAAAGAAGAACAACACATTTTAACAAAATTTGCATGACTCTGCATTTGTCCTGTTCTGTGATTTGGCTTTAGTCCATTAAAGTTTTTTTTTATATGTAAGAAAAGAAAAAATCATGGCTAACAAATCCAGAGAGTAAGGTTACTTTATTTCCTTTGGAATATTTTAAGTGGCTTAAATTAGATTTTGAATTTCTAAATATTTTCAGAAACCTAAAAGAACAGACAGTACCTTATAGAAAAGAGCTGAAGATTTTATGTTACACTGTGGTATAAAAATTGCTAAATGCAAAACATCACACTCCTCAATAAGACCAAACTCTTGAAACAAGTGTCACCATACTGACATACGTTAATTAAAATATACAGGGGTTAGACAAAATGTGAACACCTGGCTTATATGTTGGACCTCCATTTGCTTTTAAAACTGTTTTGATTCTACATGGAATGAAATCAAATAAGTTTTGAATTGTTTCCAATGGAATATTATCCTATTCTTCAATCAAAATCTCAGAAAGTTGCTTCAGTGTCGATGGGGAAGGAAATCTGTTCCTCACTCTTTGTTCTAGAACTCCCCATAATGGTTCAATCATGTTGAGATCAAGTGATTTTGCTGGCCATGGAAGATGTTTAATTACGTTATGATGCTCATCAAATCATGACTTCACTTTTTTGCAGTGTATATGGGTGCATTACCATCTTGGAATATGGCACTTTCTGGCAACAGTATGGTAGCCATTGCAAGGACATTATTATTGAAAATGTTGAGATATTTATCTGCAGTAATTCTACCCTTAAGAGTGATGATAGGACCAGAAGAATACCAGGAAATAGCCACCCAAATCATTACTGAGCCACCTCCATGTTTTTCTGTTGGGACTATGCAATTCAGATCATACTGTACTGTACTGATGCAGCATTCACCCTAGGCAGATTGAGCCGGCTTCTTCCTGTTATGAGAAGAAGATTCTTGGGATAAATTACAGAAGTAGGGTACCCAGGCCTACTCGGATAATGTTCTTGCTTGCCGCGGGGTTCCCACAGACGCAGAGACAGGAATGACCAGAAGCCGCCGGTTACCGATGCAGACGCTCCTTGGATTTTCACCAGAGCCCTTGTTAGCCGGCGTGTGTGTCAGACCTGTCCGCCTTGGGTGGCCCTACCAGGAACGAAGTTCCGGGCGGCATAGCTCTGACACTACCGTTTTACACCCCCCCCCACCGACTGTGAGGTAAGGGTTGGACTTTGGGGGCTTACAGTACCAGGTGTTCCCAAGCGGTCCCCCATCTAAGTACTGACCTGGCTCTACGCTGCTTAACTTCGGTGATCGTACGAGAACCGGTGTTTCAGCGTGATTTGACCGTAAGCTGATCATAGGCTTCACATGGTGGTGTTCTCCAGACATAAACACGCCCATTTGTAGGGAATAACGTGAAAGAAGACTCATCAGACCAAATAACATTTTTCTATTTCTCAAATGTCCAATTTTTGTGATCACACCATTTTTTTTGCAACTTGGCGTTCAAATTTGTAATCAGAGATTTAGGAATCACAGCCCTTCCATGGATACAAGCTTTGTGGAGCTCACAATGTACTGTACATGTAGAAACTGCATTGATTAGGTGAGTCATGAGTTCTGATGTCATTTTTGCCGCAGTAGTTTTATGATTTTTTACCACAGTTCATTTTAAAGCTCATTTGTCCCTTTCGATCAACTTTGCTTTCCATCAACTATTACTCTTTGTTGATGATGTTTTGCCTTGTTTTGGGTAAGCTGTCATAACCATGGACACTGCAGCTCATGGCACATTCAGACGTTTTGGTCACAGATGCTCCTGCTAATTAAGCACCAACTATTTGTCCTTTTTGGAAATCCGACAGGTTGTGCATTTTAGTAACTCTTTCACCCAAAGATAAATAATGACTTATTTAAGTGGAAAAGAAAGGTAAAGGATTAAAGTGATGAGCAGTTACATTTTATGCCATTTTGACATTTACAAATATCCAGAAATGTAAGAATTTGTAAAAATTGTTATGTTTACAAGCAGTTCACATTATTTTGTCTAACCCCTATATATATATATATATATATATATATATATATATATATATATATATATATATATATACACGGACATACACACACAGTGGGCTATGATAAATTTTTAGCTACCCTTAATTACAGAAATTTTGGCTTGTGTAATAATGTATCTTCTTTTTTTCAGACAATACCATGTTAACAATAGTTGACTTATATCTTGCAATGAAAGTTTGTGGAAGTAACAAAATTAGTGAATTTCAACAAGGACAAATAATAGGATGGCATCAGTGTGGGAAGTCAAACAGAAAAAATTGCTAGGTTTTTCCAGGTTAATCACCAAACGGTTAATAATATTGTCAAGAAATTTAATGAGCAAAGTAGCAAAGGCCTGGAAGGAATTGTAAAGGAATCTTTCACTGCCATGAATAATCAAAGTCCTGACATGAATCCAATAGAGCACATTTGGGAGCACCTTCACAGAAAACTTTGAGAGCATGCAACCAAAATCACATCAGTGTCAACTCTTAAATGTACATTGCTAAATTTTAGCAAAATATGGATCAGACGATTGTTGATAACTTGCTCAAATCCATGAAAAATCGAATACAAGCACTGAAACTAGCAAATGGAGGACCTACTACATACTAGTTCCAAATACTGTTTATTTATATTGAGTAAGGATTACAGAATTAAATTTTGAAATTGGATGTAGTTTATTTCTTCTGGCTAAAAACTTTTCTTAGGCCACTGTATAAAAAATTAGGAGAGCAGCCAATCAAGCTACTTTGCTTTCAACCTTTTGCTATCCTCATGTGATATAGGCCAAAATTCCAATATATTCTTTATATGTGTATTGAGCACTTTTAAATACAACTGTTTCCTGGTCTAATTCAACTCTGACCAATAACTGTTTTATAATTGTTATATATATATATATATATATATAAAAACATACTTACAGCCAATCTTTCTTTGTATATGGCAATTTTTTTTACTGCTTCCCGACATTTAATTCTCACTGCAAAGAGAAAAATATCAATAATTATAAAGAAATTATCCTTGGCAACAAGAACAGAAAAAAATATTTTAAAAAAATTGAAGACCAAAAAAGATGGAAAAAATACAGTATTTGATGGCCTATAAATGACTCAAAATCTCTCCCCTGGATCTTATATGCAAAGACAAGCAGTCTGATAAACGAAAGATTACCAAGAGATGAGCAATACTTGTACACAAGATAATTTCATAATACTGTAATATTAAATGGAAATAGTGGGAGGGGAAAGGTAAATAAATAAGAAATGTTTATGCCTTTCATAACACCAATCATGATAAACACAGCAGTCAACTGGTTAGTTAATCAAGTTCACAGCCATGAAGCAATGGTTAGCAAGGTACACTACTTCTTCTATGTGCTGTGTCCATTCAGGATGTGGGCAATCATGGCTCTCCACAACTTCCAATTCATTGTGGCCACTAGCAGTTTTTCTCTCTTTGCCAAACCTCCTGACCCTGTTCTGCCATTCATTCACACAAGCTCATATTTTTGCCCCCCCCGCTGCCTTCTCTTATCTCTCTTGCTCTCATTATCCCCTGTGAGGGTTAAATTTTCCAAGTCCTCATTATGTGTCCAATAAATTTCAAATTCTGAGAAAAAAGCATTTGTTTTGTTACCATTTTCTTTAAGACCTCCTTGTTGCTTACTCACATTGTCCATGGAATTCTCAATATCCTGCTATTGTCTCCAGGTTTCTCTTCATCTTTGAGGAGATTTCCAGCATTTACTGCCATGCAAGAGGATCAATATAACACAGCAATTCAGCACTTTTCTTTGTTTCTAATACTTTGTTTAGCTTTTGGAATGCATCTTTTGCTAAGCCAATACATAGGTACCTCCACGAGATCGCTAAAAAAAGAGCATAGCATGATGAAATAGACGCCAAACTTGACGAAAACAAAATCTTATTGTCTAAATGGTTGTTATTATTAAGAGGAAAGATTAAAGTATTTTGGGGATATTTTTTTACATTTTTTAATCATTCCTAGCACGTCCAAAATTTTCATTAAAAATCTTGTTTTTTTTTGAGTCAGCAAAATTGACAAATTTCAACCATTTTTTCCATTTTATAAAAAAATGAAAATCTCACTTTGAAATTCTTTTAAATATCAATTATCATTTTTTTCAAAACTTATTTTAAGAAAATCAGAAATTATAATATTTATTTAAAATATTTTGAACCAAGCTTAACTTAGCTTCTCTGCCGAAAAAAGATGTAATTTGAAAATAAAACAAAGCAGGTCATAAACTTTCGAAAATCACTTGAAAGGTGATGAATGACATATTGACGGATTCTGTGAGGATAATTTGTCAAAAATAAAAAAGGAGAAAAGTGAAATTATTTACATTTAAGTGAACAAATTATTTACCTCGTTATTTTTAAGGAAAACTTTCAGCACTCTAATTTTTTTTTTTTTTTACTTACGCTTTCACCTTTACGTTTGTCGATGCTTTATGGAAAATATATTATAAAGAAATTTAAAATAAGACTGTTAAGAATGAGAAAAATATTTCATAAGAAAGGTATCTAATTAATTTATAGATACCTTTCTTATGAAATTTTATCAGAAGTGTACATAAAATACTATAATTTTATGTACATTTATTACATTTTACTGTGTTATTTGTATTTCCACTCATTTTATTATTAATTTTGATATTTCATTTATGGAAAAATGTCATAATTGAGATTAATATAAAAATAAGATCATATAAATTTCATAAGATGATACTGATACTTGTAGGTACACTTCTCAGTTGAAAAATCAAATTAACTTCTATACATGTGTTTCACAATAGTAAAGGACTTAACAGCAGAGAACAATGCTTAACTCAAATAACACAACTTAATTGTATTCTGGTTGGTCTTCCGTACTTTATAATTACAGCCTGATTATAAACACAAAATTACATTTCTTAATTGTGTGGATCTTCTGATTACATTCAAAAAAATAAACATTTACAACCCACTAAAAAAAGATCTATCTCATAAGGATAATTTAGGAAACCCAATGCTGCTTTTAACTAATTTTTATATTTTTTAACTTAAATGTAAAATTTATTATAATTAAAAAAATAACAAATAGTTGTATTAAAAAATTCATTTTCATTGAAAATTTTTTTGCTTTCAGAAAATATTGTCCATATTCATAAAAACAGCTAAAAAAAAGGCAAATAAAAGCATTTGAAATTAAATAATAATATTTTTTTTTATTGAGTTTTTTATGTTACAATTCCAGAGCTGATTTTCAGATAGGTGGGGTCCAATTAAAAACAAAAAAACATGATTTGCATTCCTCAAAGCCTTGTTTTTTTAACTATTATAATCACTAAACCTGATGCAATCGAATTTCTAGTTTTTTCTAAAAAAGTTATGGGGTAACAATAATAATAAAAAAAATATTTCTGCCATGACTTTAATAAAAAAAACATATTTATAATAATTTCGATCGTCTGTGAATAGTTCTGAAAGTTTCATTGACATCCGACAATTATTTTTATTTTTGCAAGATTTTCCAAATTAAATGTGTCATACAAAAAAAAAAAAATGCTAAAAAATTGTATATGTTATTTTACTAGTTCCAGTGATACAAAGAGAAACAAGGTTTTTTTAATCAAAATTTAGAATGTTCTAAAAAGAAGAAAAAATTTTTAAAAATAATTAAAATAAACTTTGATCTTTCCTCTTAATAATAGCATAAGCATTTAGACGATAAAATTTTATTTTCGTCAAATTATTTTCATCATGCTTGCTCTTTTTTTTAGTTTATCTCATGGAGGTATTTATCCAATAACACATTTAGATTTGGGTGTCACATACAAAAAAAAATTAAAACACTTCCTGGATATTGAAATTCCAATGAGTTCTTTCATGTTGGTCATTTGGTTGATTTTGTTTAGTGTCAAAATCTAAATATCTTTAACACAATTTTATGGCTTCAACTAAATATATTTTGAATGGGATTGTATATCTTCAAGTACAGATAAAATATATTGTTGGTCATTTTGCTCTAAAGAGGTATTGATGGTAATTTTTTTTTAATATAAAATTATACTGTGGTAATTTTACTATAAAAGTGTATTTTTATACTTTCATAGGGTTTTGTTTTGTTTAGGGGTTCACTATTTGTCCATAGCTTGGACTCTTACAGGTGCTACCACCCCAGGTCAAGATGAACTAGAGAACAACAGCAATTAAGAGGTAGTTTCACATTCCTCAAAACCACCAATCTTCCAATCAGAGGCCTTGCTGCCAGATGTAATTTATTGTCATACCCAGGACTGTTTGTTATTTAAGTAATCATAATAGTCTAACTAGAAAAACACAAAAGCATTACAAAAATTAAAGAGGCTCTTTTTTTTTAATTTAAGAATAAGATTGTATGTCAAGGATTTCATAATAACTATACTAGCATTCTCAAAGTGAAGAGGAAGGAAAAAGGTAATTGTGAAAGTTACAAATGAAGGCTAAAGTGTTTGGAAAAAAAAAAAAGAATGTGAATAAAGAAGAGAAAATAAAGATGAAGGAAAACAGTCACATTTAAAAAGAAAACTAATTTATTTTGTGGCTGCTGTTTTATTCAGAATATTCAGTTCCCCATTATAACTCACTCTCTATCAATAGTATTTGTCTCTTCACTTTCCAAATCTCAGTTATATCAGTTAAGTGAACATCCAAGGTGGTATATATTATGGTATCTAAACAGTGACATGTTAAGATTTTATCTACTTGTGTTAAGCCAAAGACCAAAGGAGGGTATAACTGGTGGTTTACTAGTATAAAAGTGGGTATACTGCAAAATAAATGTTTTTTCATATGATGGAGGATTGAAATATTTTGAGAGCTTAAGTACATATTAGAGAGATAATTTTTCCCATTTCAGGTGTAGAGGACGTTTGTTAGGTTCTACAGATAGATTTTGCTTAAGGGATATGCAAACAGTACTGACACAGTCTTAATCCTTGGTTCTGGATGGGTTATAGGATCCTTAGGCAGGATTTACAAGTAGAACTAAAAAGATGTACAACCATAGTCCAGTTTCAATCTAGTAAGAGACATATAAGCATAGTTTCACTTTATGGTCAGTTTTCAGTCCATCTTTGATAGAACCTTTATAAGACTTAGTTTTAGGCATTTTTGGTTTAGATAATTGAAACATGGCCTAAGTTCAGCTTGTTATCAAAGATGAAACTCAAGTATTTGGTTTGTTTGATTTTTGGAAAAACAATATCATTTACTTTTAGTTGAGACTCAAAATATGATGATCACTTGCTCCAGAAGTGTATACATATGATTTTAGTTTTGAAAAATTAGAAATCATTTTCATTAACCTGCTTTTCAATTTTGTTGAGACACTTTTGCATCTGTCTCTTTTTGCAGCTGGCATATATGGAGATGACTAAGTAACAGAGACATCAACCAGGAAGAAAGCTTTCTCAAATTCAGTATTAATAATTTCAACAATAACGTTACTTTGTAATATAATTAATGTGATTGACAGGATGCAAATTTCTGACACTCCCATCTCTTGTTTGTGAAGTTCAGATCCAATAAGGACCCTGAAAACACAGCAGGATAAAAATATTTTCGAAGAGTATAAGCATTCTACCTTTTGGACGTAGATTGTATGTGTCTTTAAGTATACCCTCCTTCCAAATAGTATCAGATGCCTTTTCAAGGTCAAAAAATGATATAACAGGACATCTCCATACCATCATACACAAAAAATTTGAGATGAATGAGTTGACTGATGGTGTTTCAGTTAGAATCTATGTTGATATTTGGATAGAATATTGTTTTTCTCTAAAAGCCACTTCAATCAAACCATTACCATCCTTTTCATTGTCCTGAATAAGCAGCTGATTATATAGTTGGTTAGATTTGAGATATCTTTCCCATGTTTAGGGACTGGGATATATACAGCTTCCAGCCATGAAGTCATCTGAGCACCACATGTTATTATAGATAATATCCAGTAACAGTAAAAGAGACATCTTTGGTAGTTGTTTTTTTACAAATCTGAAAGCATACTTCATCTATTTCAGTAACAGTATCATGGCATTTTCTAAGTCTTTCAATTCAGTAATAGTAAATCAGATATTATACTTTTCCATGTGGTCTGAATTATTTTTTTTTTTTTATTATTGCATTTAAATTTTTGGAATGTAAAGGAGTAATGTTTTGTTGATGAACTTTTTTCAAATTCAACTGCTAATAAACTGACAATATCTTTTCTTTTTGTGAATTCTCCAAATGCTTGTTTGGTTTATTCACATGCCCATTAGTAATTGTCAATTTTCTTAACCATATCCCAAAATTTCTTCACTGGTGAATTAGTGTCCAATTTTGAGATATATTGCTTCTAAGATTTTCTTTCACTATTTTTGATAATACAACATATGTCTTTGCACAGAGTTTTTGGCAGTTCTGTAGGCTATTCATTGTTTGATGAAGTTCAAACTTTTTTAATGTTTTTTTTTTCAATGTTTTATAGTTTCTTTGTATTCATTTATAAACCAAAGTTTGTGTTTGGATTATCAGAGGATTTAGGAATTGTTTGTATTGCTATATGGATTAATAAATCTGCAGAGTTTAACTGGGGGATGTTGAATGGCAAAGCTAGTATAGAGATTACAGAAGAGTCATTGTAATAAATTATGTAAAGTGCTAACTTAATTAAAGTTTAATTAGCCCCATTTGTAAAGAAAATTAAAATGGAGAATCTAGCCTCTATTTCCTTTGAAGAACAATAAAAACAAATTATTCAAGCAAATTAACAAATTATATGTAACTGGTAGACATTTTACCTTTTGCAACCAACATATGAACTCAGTAGTCTGAGCTATCAAGAGTCAATAGCATTACCAATGACAATATAGAGTCTATCATTATCTATCATATCTGTTATTACTTCTCTACTTCCTCCTCCTATGTCCATACAGCAACCTCATTTAGTAATCATCTACCTTGAGTGGCACTTGGGCTTTGTATTGGGTGAACATTTAGTAAAAAAAAAGGGGGGGTGACACGGGTCAGTTGTTTGGTTCTTTGAGTATAAGGGGTGTTGATTAAGGTTTAACAGAAGTCTGTGAATGCCTACCAGTTTGCCTAATGGAGATGCCGTCTGTGAGTTCTCTCTTTCAGTACTTCTTGTTTATTTCTATCAATGAAGATAGGAGAATGATCACTCCCAATTTGATAATTATGGACTCTCCATTAGAAATCCATAAAGATTAATAGGAAGCAAATTGATAAATCTATGGCTGACACAGAATTGGAAAATTGATGGAGGCAAATGAAAGGTTTATCATTTAAAAGGCATAAACTGAATGCTCTTAATAAGGTTTCAATGATGTAGCCAATGATGATTGGATTTCCCAAAGTTCATTATGGATATTAAAACCTCTTAACAATAGGATACAAGTGGCAAGTTCATCAATTAATCTGTCTATCTCAACTTGTCATAATTTGTATCGCAAGGGTAGATATATAGATATTCAGTAACCCTCTACATTGAATGGCAAAAACTTTGTATTGAATGAATAATAATAGTATAAAAATATATAGCAAGCATATAGTAATGTATGGCTGAGAATGTTTTTTTTTTTACAGTTATGGCTTGAAGGTTTGTACTTAAGCTGAAGTGCCTCATGAAAAGTTGTTCTTTTTACTAATATTGAAGAACTACCAGTTGGTCTGTTGCCTATAGCTGATGTGGTTGTTTTATTATAGATTTCATATCTTTTAAAAGAAATGACAGAATCTTTTAAGAATGTCTCTTGTAAGCAAACTAAATTTAGATTAAAGTCTGCAAGAAGTCATCTGACCTCCACATAATTTCCTCTGATTCCTCTACAAATCCACTGTAAATTTTTTTTTTAATGTTTTTTCTTTTTTTGTCTATGGTTTATGTTTTGTGGGTGAATAGTTATCCTCTGTTTCTATCTTGTCTTTAGATGAAGGATTTCAGATTACCTTCTATTTCCATTCTGTTGAGATGTTCAAACATTGTGTTTTTCCTGTCTAAAGAAGCTTTTCTCAATTCTTTGGTCAGGTTTCTTTGTTTTTGAAGTGAACCACTGACATGATCTATTTTGAGATCTTTGATTTGGTGTTTTGTGTTACTTTAAGGATCTCTCCATTGGGCTTGTTACCTGGGAAGGTTTCTCTGTACAAGTAGGCGGTTGGGTTAAAGGTAAATAAACAAATTAGCCCTACCTTTTGAACCTGGTAAGTATTGTTGCAGTGAAGTACTTGTTTAATTAATTGATAACAATTCATTCAAACCATAAAAAATGAAGAAAAAATTAAACACATACCTTTTTCTTCTGTTATGAGATGCTGTATGATGACATCTGTCATGTTTTCCCGGTATGCATACCGTTCTTTGTATAAACCATG